TTACCATGTAACTTATTGATTTCTTCCCCAGTTTTAATACAGTTTATTTGACTTTTTTGCCATTTGAAGTTCTGTATCTACTTGACTTCCCTGCTATTTGAAGTTCTGTATCTACACTATTCCCTCTTTTTGCTTTGTAGTTGTCATTTTCATTATACATTGATAGCTCTAGTTTCCTGCTTTCAGTCTTATAGAGTTGTTTTACTTTAAATACTTTTATATCTGGTGTGGAGCTATAGGATAAGTTCTAAACTGCTTATTGCAAGGTCGGTGGTTCAAGCCCACCATATGCTCCTCAGAAACCCTAACCAACTCGACAGCACTTACAACAACATATATGGTTTGATTTCTGGGTGGTGTTGCCATGTATATTAATCTCAGATTGTTGTCTGCTGTTGTTGGTTCTTAGTCCCCAAAACACCCATTAGTACTTTTTACAAAGTTGATCTGATTATTATACATTCCTTTAATTCCTGTTTATCTGGAAATTTGTTGCATATTTGACAAACTGCTTTTCTGGTTATATGATTCTTGGTTGGCAATATTTTTCTTTCAGAGTTTTGTATATGTCATGCTGTTACTGTCTTGCCTGCATGACTTCTGCTGAGAAGTCAGAACTCAGTCTTATTGGTTCTCCTTTGTAAATACCTTTTCATCTTTCCTGAACTACTCTCAGAATTCTTTCCTTATCTTTGATTTTGATAAGAGTGATTATGATATGTCTTGATGATTTTCTGCTGGGGTCTATCCTGTTTGAGATTCATTCAGCTTCTTCAATGCTTATTTTCTTGCCTTTCATGATGTTAGGGAAGTTTTTCTTCCAATAACTCTTCAACAATTTGTCTGTGCCTTTATTTATTTATTTATTTATTGTATCTTCCTGTTCTGTAATGTCAAAAACCTATAAGCTATTCCCCTTCAATGTTGTTATTGTTGTTAAGTGCTATCAAGTTGGTTCTGATTCATAGCAACCCTATAGAAGGTTTCCAAAGAGCAGCTGGTGAATTTGAACTGTTGACCTTGTGGTTTGCAGTCTAGTGCTTATCCTACAAGACCACACCAGGAGTCCTTTTCTTCTTGGTGTTCCATATAGATCTTAGGCTTTCTTGGAATTTTTTTCCCTTCTTTTTCCTGATTGTTCTTCTAGCATACTAGTACAGAGATTTACCTTCAAGATCATTAATTTAGGCTTCTATTAATTCAAATCTACTCCTTTGCCCTCTCAATGTATTGCCCATTTATGAAAGCTCAGTGTTAATCTTCTGGATTTCTGTTTTCAGGTTTTGTGTTGTTTCAAATTTTTCATTTTTGTCTGCTTGTTCTTGTAGGGTTTTCCTAAACTTTTTTCTGTGTTCTCTTTGCTTTCCTCAATCTTTCTCTCAATCTATTGAAGCTCACTTAAATGTCTCTATTTTGAATTCTTCCTCATGTAGTTCAAAGATATTTTCTTCCTCAGAAATGTTATCTGGCTCTGTATTTTGGTCACTTGTTTGAGCCACTCTCTCCTGTTTCTTCATGTGAACTGAAACTGTCTGTCTAGGACACATCGTGGTGGTATTGTATTTGTACTTAATTGATGCATATGTTGTGTGAAGTCCTGGTGTGGTACTGTGGGCTAATGTGCTAGAATGCAAAGTCGGCTTGAACTGCAAGGTCAACAGTTCAAGCTCACCAGCCATTCCTTGGAAACTCTATACAGGATCCTTATGGTTCAGAACCAACTCAATGACACTGAACAACAACAACAACTGTGCTGTTGTGTTTTTAGGCTCTCGCCAACTTCTCACTGGTGAGTGTGACCACAGAATGGAAGTGTGTGTACAGCTTTCCATTTGCTCTTCATGCAGTTCAGTTTAGAGTTGGTTTGACAGGTGTTGACTTCTGTCTATAATTGATCAGATGGCATAGGATTTGGTATTGAGTGTTTCCCAGTGGGTGCAGCTGCAGGGGATGTTGTTGTGACAGAACTGTATGGGCACAGCTACTGTCTCCTCTAGAGTGTGACAAGAAGAGAAAACACACACACACACACACACACACACACACACACACAGAAGAAAACAAACCAAAACAAACAACAATGAAAAAGAACATAATAAGGAAGTAAAAAGGAAAAACAGGCAGCAATAAGGAAAAAATAATATAGTAACTAAAAATAGAAAAGAGGAATTCGAAAATAAACCTGTAGAAATGAAAAATGACAATGAAAAGAAAAAGAAAAAAGACACTAAAGAAGACTAGGGAGAGGAAAGATGAAAAAGAAAAAGAGACTAGACAGGAGTATAGAAAAATCAGGAGAAAAAGAGAAAGAGAAGAGGAGGGGAATGAGAAAGAGACAAAAAGAAACAAAAAATGAAAGTGGAGATAGAAAGGATAATTAAACAAAGGAAAGGAGAGAGGAAGGAGGAGAAGAAAGAACAAAAAATTTTAAATTTAAAAAACAATAGAAGGGGGAGAAACAGAGCAGATGCCAGATGCAGAGAGGAGAAAACTCTGGGGGGGTTCCTGCTAGCCAAGGAGTTCACAAGGTGGGTGGGGGACGAGAAGAGACAGTGACATTTCCAGCCCTAGATGGAGGTCCTATTAGCCTAGGTGTCGTCTATGTTCAGGGCACCCAGTCAGGAAGTAGTTCATACAGGTCCTTAAGGTAGCTGGGTTCAGTGTCAGTCAGGAACAGAGGGAAGCTAGGAGTAGGATGGCTGATGGTGAGATTTCCTGATTTCTGGTCTGGAACAGGTCCTTCCTGAATCTAGGCACCAAGGCAACATAGCTGGCACTGGGCTCACATTGATTGGCGCAGCTCACAATCCCATAACACTGAACTCCCAGAGAGCAGGGGCTATACTGAAGATGTGGGGGTGGACCACTCCTCCGGTCAGCAGAAGAGCATAGGGAACAAGAAACAACTGCACCTTTCCTTTTTCCAGTCACCAGTATGCATCTGCATCACCAGGTCATAATTTTTGCTGCTTACAAAAATTCACCATGTCTGATCAGGGGACTTTTCACCATTCTATCTCCTTCCTTCACCACCCCACTCAGCTTCTCCTCCCAGTAAGTATTCAATCCACTTCTCTATCCCTTCCTTTGAAGTTCAGGGTTCCAGGATTATCATCTGTATCTGTTTCATTTGGTCTCCCATATCTTGGTGGTAGAAGGTCAATGCAGTGTGTCTGCCTAGTCTGTTATCTTCTAAGCTATCAAGAGATAAATTGTTATAAGAAAATACAAGACTCAAGCATTTCTTTTAACTTAAACAGAAGCTACTAGATGTCATATAAGCTGGTAGGAATGCTCAGCTATGGTACATTCTTACCAGTCGCTGTGGAAAAGTTTGGTGGGTCCTCAAAATGTTGAACATAGAACTATCATATGATACAGCAACCCCAATCTTGAAAGCAGCAATGTTAACAGACACATGTACACCAACATTCATTGCAACACTTTTCACAGTAGCCATAGACAGAAACAACCAAATGTTCATACACAGATGAATGAATAAACAAAATTTGGTATATACACACACTGGAATTTTACTCAGTCATAAAGAGATATGAAGTTCTGATCCATGCGATTACATAGATAAGCCTTGAAAACATGCTGAGTGAAATAATCCAGTTGCAAAAGGACAGATATTCTATGATATCATTTATATGAAACAAGAAAATATATGTTGTTGTTTTTATTAGGTGCCATCAAGTTGGTACAGACTCATAGCGACCTTATGCACAGCAGAATGAAACACTGCCTGATCCTGGGCCAACTTCACTACTGTTGCTGCGCTTGAGTCCATCAATGCTGCCACTTGGTCAATCCATCTCGTTGGGGGTCTTCCTCTTTTTCTCTGACCCTCCACCTTATCAAACATGATATCCTTCTCCAGTGACTGGTCCCTCCTGACATGTCCGAAGTATGAGAGACGAAGTTTGGCCATCCTAGGTTCCAAGGAGCAGTCTGGTTCTTTTGGCAGCCCATGGTACTTTCAATATTCTCCTCCAACACCATAGCTCAAATGCATCAATTCTTCTACGGTCTTCCTTATTTACTGTCCAGCTTTCACATGCATATGAGGTTATTGAAAATACCATAGCTTGGGTCAAGTGCTCCTTAGTCTTCAAGCTGACATCTTTGTTCTTCAACACTTTAAAAAGGTCTGTGCATCAGACTTGCCTGATGCAATACGTCATTTGATTTCTTGACTGGTGTTTCCATGAGTGTTGATAGTTGATCCAAGAAGGATGAAGTCCTTGACAACTTCAATCTTTTCTCCATTGATAAGAATGTTGTTTATTGGTCCAGTGGTGAGGATTTTTGTTTTCTTTTCATTGAGATGTAATCCATACCGAAGACTGTGCTCTTTGATCTTCATCAGTAAATGTGTTAAATCCTCTTCCCTTTCAGCAAGGAAGTTTGTATCATTTGCATATTGCAAGCTGTTAATGAGTCTTCCTCCAATCCTGATGCCATGTTTTTCTTCATAGAACCCAGCTTCTTGGATTATTTGCTCAGCATACAGTTTGAATAAGTATGGTAAAAGAATACAACCCTGTCGCACACCAACACTCGTCTTACTATGGTGGCTTGTGAGTTGCTGTAATTCTGAAAGCTGTGACAGCAATATTTTAAATACCAGCAGGGTTACCCATCGTGGACAGCTTTCAGATGAGCTTCCAGACAAAGACAGACTAGGAAGAAGGAGTAATGAACTACTACCAAATATTTAGTCACTGAAAACCTTATGAATAGCAAAGACAATATATAGATATCAAATATTAGTAGTTACCAGGGATGGGCAGGAGAGGAAAGGGGAAATGTTTGTTTAAAGGACATTGAGTTTATATTAAAGTTAGTGGAATGGCTGGGAAAAGAATAGTGAGAATGGATGTAAAACTTTAATCAGTCACTGCATTACAATATACATATGGATATTATTTAGATGGCATATGCTTTGTTATGAATATTTTCATTGTAATAGAAAAATCATTTTTGACTTATTGTTCATGACTAAGTGTAAGAGAACTTACAACCTCTTGCTTTTCCTCTATGTGCTCTACCAGATGCTCACAAAGGAAGATCAAGAAGTATTCTGAGAATGGTTCTCTAATGGTGCTGTCTGGGAGAGTGGAGGGAACAGTAACAACTGTCAGAACTTCTCCCAGGCCCATTTCCCCTATTTTGTTCTACAGAACAAATGCTATAATCTGCAGGGACAAAAACAGCAGAAACTTTCACTATGGAGCACTGTAGAAACCCGTTGTAGCTGCGGAAGAGAACAAGGAAAACAACAGCAACTAAAAAAATCTGGTCTTCAGGGAGGTACAGAAACATAGAAGTCTTCAAAAAGTTTGTGGGAAATTGGAATGAAAAGATAATGGAATAGTTCCACTGACTTTTTGAAGCCCCCTTGTATGGCTAGGCTCAGTAATGCAGCAGGACACATGACACTTCTGATGACCAAATTCCCAAGACCTAGGTTTTTAGTACCTATGACTGAGGCTTAACCAGAACATCAAAGAATGTTCCTCTCTTGCCCTCAACCAGCCCTTAATCTGCATCAAGTAAAAGTAGCAATTGCATAGCGCGGAGAGTTCTTCAAGGAATAGATTATCTCTGGGTATCAGAGCAGAGGGGAAACTCAAAGTCCAGCAGGGAGCAGAAACATTGGTAAACTAGCCCATACCTTAAACCCAAGGCATTACTACACAAACGTGAAACTTGTGGTGCACTGAGACTGACTATAACAATAAAAAACTTCAAAAGTTGTCCAGTTCCTGGCTAAATTAACACAAACTCCTAAACTGAAGGTCTAGCAGAAAGAAAGTCATGCCCATAAACAAGCAAAAATAAGTTATTTTACCTCGGTATCTGCTGTCCTATGCAATATAGAACAAAACAATATACAATACAATAGCTTTCAGCAAAAAAAAAAAAAAAAAAAAGTCAAGATATTAAAAAGGTAAGAAAAAATATAATCTAAGTAGACAACACACATCAGTTCTAGATTCAGATATAACACAGATGTTAAAACTACCATACAGGAAATTTGAAATAATTCTAGGGAATTGATTAAAGATTTAAATAGAAAAGGTAGACAACACTCAAGATCAAGCAAGCCATTTCAGCAGAAAAATGGAAACTATAAAAAAGGATCAAATGGACATGCTAGAAATAAAGAACACTGAAAAACAAAAAAACAAAATAAAGAGACCCTTTAATGCAAATGGACAACACAGCTGAAGAAAGAATTTGCAAATTTGGAAATAGGTCAGTAAAAATCATCCAATGAAAAAAACCACCAGCACCCATGGAAGTCCACACAAAAGGACCTTGGGCTTGAGCTAAGTGTCTCTCAGAAGACACCCCTCCACATATTCCTCCACTAAGCCCCATCTCAAAAAAAGACTGTAAATCTCTATGTGAATAGACAGTCTCATCTTTCTCTCACAAAACAGCTGAGAGATTTGAACTACACACCTTGGGTTAGCAGCCCAATGTCTAACACACAGCACCACAAGAACTTCACTACTCAGACTGCTCTATATCCAACATTATATGATATTTCCTTGCAAGCTTGGAAACTTATTTGAAGAATTTTCTGTAGAGTCTCACCATGGTTTCTTGTTTTTTTCCTATTGTTTTGTAGCTGTGAAAGAGTTTCAAATGAATAATCAAACAGACGTTACCGAATTCATCTTCTTGGGCTTTTCCAACCACCCCCATCTACAGGGGTTGTTCTTCTTAGTCTTCCTGGTCATTTACCTGACAACCTTCCTGGGGAACACACTCATAATAATGGCCACCAGGGTCAGTCTTGCCCTGCAAACTCCTATGTATTATTTCCTCAGCAACCTCAGCTTCTTGGACATCTGCTACACATCCACTACCATCCCAGTCATGCTGGTGAACTTCTTCCGGGAGAAGAAAACCATCTCATATGAGGGCTGCCTTTCCCAGATCTTCTTCCTCGTAACCTGTGCTGGCACTGAATGTGTCTTATTAGCTGCTATGGCTTATGACCGCTATGCAGCCATCTGCCACCCTCTTCAATATCCGATCTTTATGAGTGTGAAGGTCTGCGTGTGTTTGGTGACTGGGTCCTGGCTGTGTGGGCTGGTGAATTCCCTAACACACACAGTACTGGCAGCCACACTCACTCTGTGTGGACCCAACCAAATCAGCCACTTTCTCTGTGACATCCCACTTCTTCTGAAGCTCTCCTGCTCAGATACCTCGGTCAATGAGTCTGTGCTCCATGCAGCCAGTGCCACCATTGGCCTGAGCCCCTGCCTGTTTACTGCAGTGTCCTACATACTCATCATCTCTGCCATCCTGAGGATTCCCTCTGCTCAGGGCAGAAGCAAGGCCTTCTCAACTTGTGCTTCTCACCTCACTGTGGTGGTGGTATTTTATGGAACAGCCAACTTAAACTATGACCAACCCAGAGAAGGTTACTCCCTGGACATGGACATCCTGGTTTCTGTGCTTTTCTGTGTTATGACCCCCGTGTTAAATCCCATCATTTACAGCCTGAGAAACAAGGAGGTCAAGGGGGCCCTGAGAAAACTATTTGGAGGGTGTGTACTCTCTGGAAATACTAATGCCTAGATCAACGGGGTATGCAAACCCCTGAAAAATTTCCAAGAGATTGTAGTATAGATAGTTTTAGGAAGTTCCTTTCAAGATCATGAATTCCTGTGGACCAGTTCCTAAAATTGATCTTCCCAAGAACTCTTTTCTCTTTCTACTTTCACAAATACCCTTTTCTCACTTTACAAAGTAAAGGTTTGCCATATACATTTAGTTGTTTCTCAATACCACCTGTATTCTACTAGGTTCCCCTTTTCATCACTTGGACTGAAGTCCTGAAATTTTATTTCCCAGACCTCTTGCCAGCAGCGCACCATCTTGTTCTCCCTGCTAAATGCTATTGAGTTAGTTCTGACTCAGAGTAATGTATGTGTAACAGAATGAAATTGGAATTGACTTGATTAGAGTGGGTATTATCATGACTGTGTTGTTAGGTGCCACCGTGTTAGTTGTAACTCATAGGGACCAGATGTACAATAGAATGAAACACTGTCTAGTCCTGCACCATCCTCATCAATCTCATGTCTGTATTTGAGCCTATTGTTGCAGTTACTGTGTCTGTCCATCTTGTTAAGGTTCTTCCTCTTTTTGCTGACCCTTTATTTTACCAAACATGATGTCCTTCTTCAGGGACTGGTCCCTCCTGATAATATGTCTGAAGTACATGAGAGAAAGTCTCACCATCCTCCTCTAAAGAACATTCTGGTTGTATTTCTTCCAAGATAGATTTGTTTGCAGTCCACAGTAAATTCAATATTCTTCACCAACATAAAGGCATCAGCTCTTCCTTGGTTTTTCCTATTCATTGTCATGGCTTGGTTCAGGTGAATCTTAGTCCTCAAAGAGATATCTTTGCTTTTTAATACTTTAAAAAGATCTTTTGCAGCTTATTTACCTGGTATAATACAACCTTTGATTTCTTTGACAGCTGCTACTATGAGTGTTGATTGTGACTCTAAATAAAATGAAATCCTTGATAATTTCAATATTTTCTTTGTTAATTGTTGTTGCTTATTGGTCTAGTTATAAGACTTTTTTTTTATGTTGAGGTTGTAGCCTCTGATCTTCATCAGCAAGTGCTTCAAGTCCTTTTAGCTTTCAGCAAGCAAAGCTGTGTCATCTGAATATCAAACAAGTATGATAAAACGATACAACTCTGACACACAACATTTCCTGATTCAAACAATGCAGTATCCCCTTGTTTTGTTTCAATGACTACCTCTTCGCCTATGTACACATTTCACATGAGCACAAAGAAGTGTTCTGGAATTCCCAGTTTCTGAAATGTTATCCAGTCAAATTCCTCTGCACAGCCAATAAAACACAGGTCAACATCCTTCTGGTATTATCTACTTTCAGCCAAGATCTATCTATCTGGCATCAGCAATGATATCCTTTGCTTCATGTCCTCTTCTAAATCCATCTTGAATTTCCGGCAGTCCCTGATAATGTACTTCCTCAACTATGTTTGAATGACCTAGAGCAACATTTTAACTTGCATGTAATATTAGTGATATTGTTTGATAACTTTCACATTCTGTTGGATAACGTTTCTTTGTAATGGATACAAATATGGATCTCCATATTTGTCAGTTGGCCTTCCAAATTTCTTGGCATAGACTAGTGAGCACTTCCAGCATTGTATCCATTTGTTAAAAACATTTCAGTTGGTATTCCATCAATTTCTGGAGCCTTGATTTTCACCAATGCTTAAAATGTAGCTTGGACTTCCTCCTTCAGTACCACTGGTTCTTGATCATATGTTACCTCCTAAAATGGTTGAACATCAACCAATTATTTTTGATACAATAGTTCTGTAAGAGTCTTCTTTCGATGCTTCCTGCATCATTCAGTATTTCATCCATGTTGTTGTTGTTAAGTGCCATGAAGTCACTTTCAACCCATAGCCACTCTGTACAGGGTTTTCGAGAAGCGGCTGATGAGCTTGAACCACCAATGTTGTGGTGCATCTCGAGCTTTGAATTGTTTTCAATTATTTCAGTTTGAGAAATGCTGAGCATATTCTTCCCTTTTGGTTTTCTAATGCTAGGTCTTTGCATTTTACTTTGTCTTCTCAAGATGCCCCTTGAAATTTTCTGTTCACCTCTTTTACTTCTCATTTCTTCCATTTGCTTTAGTTGCTTTATGTTTAAGAGCAAGTATCAGAGTGTTTTCTGATATCCATTTTGGGTTTTTATTTCTTTCTTGTCTTTTTAATGATCTTTTGCTTTCTTCATGTATGATGCCTTTGATGTCATCCCACAACTCTTGTGGTCTTCAGTCACCAGTGCTCAATGTGTCAGATCTGTTCTTGAGATGATCTCTAAATTCAGGTGGTGTGTATTCAAGTCCTAGTGTGGCACTATAAGAAAAGCATCAGACTACTAACTGAATGGTTAGTGGTTCAAACCCACCAGCAGCTCCTTGGAAACTCTACGCAGGGTCATTATGAGTCAGAACTGACTTGACAGCACTTAGCATCATACTCTAGTCATATTTTGACTCTCATAGGCTTGTTATCATCTTATGTTCTTCCAATATGAGCCATATACAAGAGAGTAAAAGTATTAACAATTTTTTAAATGCTGGCTTCTGGATCTGGTAGAAATAGCTGCACATAAGATTAGCTCTGCAGTGGCAGAAACAGATTGGTGGTAGCATCAGTTGATGTTTGTAGTCTCCTGTAGTAGTTATCCCTGCATTGTAGGGTCACAAAAGCATAGCGTGAATATGGATTCACTTTTAAGGACATTTCCTTACTCCTTTTTTTCCCCTCTTCCATTCCTTCCAACAATTTTTAAAACATATTTCCTATGTCAAATTCCTCTATGTTGAAACATCTAGAGTAGTTCCTGAATTCCTCTGTGAACAGTAACAAATACCATATTTGATATCCGAAATTGTTCAGAAAAACATACTTAGTCTAGGTTCTCTAGGGAAGCTAAACCACTGAAGCTTACACCATCTTAGTCTAGGTTTCTTAAAGAAGCTAAACCAGTGAAATATATAAGTAGCTAAAAGGAGCTCTGGTAGTGTAGTGGTTACGAATCGGGCTGCAAACCTCATAGTCAGCAGCTCGAAACTACCAGCTGTTCCGCAGGAGAAAGATGAGGCTTTCTGCTCCCGTAAAGATTTACAGCCTCAAAAACCCTGTACAGGGTCACTATGAGTTGGAACCGACTCCATGGCACATAACAACAACAACAACAAATGGTAGTATAGTGGTTATGAGTTGGGCTGCTAATCTCAAGGACAACAGTTGGAAACTACCAGTGGTTCCGTGGGAGAAAGATGAGGCTTTCTGCTCCTGTAAATATTTACAGACCCAGAAACCCTATACAGGGTCACTATGAGATGGAACTGACTCAATGACACTTAACAACAACAACAGCACATGCACAGAAGAGGTCTATATCAAGGAAATGACTCTCACAGCTGTAAAGGCAAGCAAGTTACAATTCCATGGGTTGGATGTCATGCTAACGTCAGTTGTCAGGCTAAAGGCTTCTACTAGATCAAGTAGCTGCAGGAACTGATAAACCCAAGATCAGCAGGTCAAACAGCAGGACTTTTGGCTGCAAGACAAATGAGCCCAAGGTTGGCCGGTAAGATGGCAGGCTGTTGATGACTCCCAGAATTGACAGGCAATACAGCAGACCATTGGAGTGATTCAAAGAACCAGAGGTCAGATTAAAAACCAGATGCAGAATCCAAACTCAGCAAAAATCAAAGTAAACTTTGCCAGAGTGTCTAATATATTGGAAGCGGATCACATTCCCAAGGAAACTTCCTTCCAATTGATTGACTGCTCATATCATATCTCATCATTGGAAATTACTATTTCTTAACGCCAAACCACTGAGAATCCTGGTTTCCTAATACAAAATCTTAACTTTGTCCAGTAACTTGACACAAAACCCTATCATAGCTAACCCCTGGTCAATTTCACACCTATACATAGCTAGTTAAACCAAATACACAATATCTAAATAAAGACAATTATAAAGTCATATTTGTGCCTAACATGATACACTAACATGTGTACCAAAAATGCACTAACCCTATTTGCATCTTATATTTTATAAATAAGCAAAACAAAAATATTTGATGCACACAAACAAGGGGAAAATGGTCCCAGACTCAATGTTGGGTTCTGCTGTTGACAGATTGGACATGCAGTAGTGGCTGCAGCCAAGTATGTTTTGGTGAGTGGAAGTCCGTGCTATCGAACCCATGCATAACCTTCATCCCTACCACCATGACCACTTTGTTCATGAGCCCATGGGGCAATGACAGGAGTGGCTGAGGAAAGAGGATGATTTGTTTCCACAGAGCATGTCATTCTGTCCACTTGATTGTTAAAATCCTCCTCTGCTGAGGTAGACCTTTGATGAGAATTTACATGAGACACAAATAGCTTAATTTTTTGGCCCATTCAAAGTGGTCTATCCAAATATCTCTTCCCCATACCTCCTTGTCAGCAAATTTTCAATCATGCTCCTACCAAGTTGCTGACCATCCAGTCAAACCATTGGTTACAGCCCATGAATCAGTATAGCCAAACATCTGTTTATTTCTCCCTTCAAGCAAAATATATAATTAGGTACACTGCTCAAAGTTCTGCCCGTTGGCAGGATTTGCATTCACTACTGTCCTTCAATGAGGTCCCAGAAAGGAGCTGTAGTGCTGCTGCTGTCCATTTTCAAGTGGTGCCTTCATATCATGTAGAATCATCTATAAACCAAATATGAGTTTTCTCTTCCCTCAGTCAACTGATCATAAGGAACTTCCCATAAGACCATAGATGTCAAGAGGGAAAGGAAATGTAATGTGACAAAAGTGGAGACCACAGGCATTTGTGTCACTTCCTCATGTAACTTACTTGTGCCTTTTAGTTCTGCTTGAGTCCAATCTCATGTATACCACTTCCATTTAATGTAACTGCAGGAGCTGATGAACCCAAGACCGGAAGGTCACGTGGCAGACTTCTGGCTGAAGAAGTGAATAAATCCAATGTT